CGGTCGACCGCGGCGGCCGACCGTGAAAACTTACGAACAGACGGTCGACCGTCACGGTTAACCACAAAAGTTTCTGCTGGCGTCTGAGGGAAAAACATTGGCGCGGTCGACCGTGGCGGTCGACCGTGAACTGATACATGAAAATACAGGTTTTGAAAGTTATTTTCTGATTTTAAAACCCTGTTTAAAAATATCAAATAAATTCCAAAAATTATGAAACTTTGGAAAATGATTGTAGACATGATAATAAATATGCTACAAAAACTAGTTTTCGAAAAGGACCTACCAAATAAAGAATATCATCATTTTGCAAAATAGTCTAAAACATGAAAATGTAAACACACGAGTTTTGACATTTTAGCTTAACCTTGTTTTGAAACATTACAAAATAATTTTGTAGACTTAATAAAGTATATATATGATTATTGTTAAGTCCAAAACCTGAGAATATAATATTTTCACAAAATTACTTATTTTGCAAACTTTATATGATTATTGTTAAGTCCAAAACCTGAGAATATAATATTTTCACAAAATTACTTATTTTGCAAACTTTTCAAAACAATAAATATGATTTCATGAATAGAATATAATATTTTCACAAAATTACTTATTTTGCAAACTTTTCAAAACAATAAATATGATTTCATGAATTAAATAAAATTGATATTGATGAAATCATATATATGCATATAAGTATGAAACAAGAAATTAATTTTCAATTGTATTCAATTGTTTCATATTAAAACATGAAAACTCAAAAGCATGTATGTATATATATAACTAAATATACATAGAAACCAAAACTTAACTTATGTATATATATATAACTATATATATATATAAAGAAATTAATAAAATGTGTGTGCATATTATATTGAGCTTAAAGTACCAAACACACATAATATAACACCTAAACTAAATGTTACCCAAGCAATCTTGATCTTCAATAATCTCTTTTTTGTAATCTTGCGGATGAAGCTTGAACTTGGATCTTCAATTTGAATTGCATAGGTTTCACTCCACAATTCCGCCAACCTCCATTGGATATGATCGTTGAAGGGCAATTTTATGTATCCTCCAACAATGTTGTTTGTCTATAATAAAGAGAAAACCAAAAACAATAGACGAACAACATTAGTTGTAAATTATTTGTTAAACATCATCAAAACAAGAAGGTCAACAATCTCCCCATTTTTGATGATGATAAACAATTTACAAAAGAGATATATATGCATGAAAGAAATAAATATATAAATTATAATTATCATTGCATATAAATAAGAAAGAATATACTCATAATATTTCTCCCCCTTTGACAACATCAAAAAGGGGAAAACAAGAATGAAGAGAGCGAAAGCTCCCCCTACAAGTAAGCATGAGTGAGTATAAAACATAAAAAGATATAGGGATTGCTCCCCCTATCAAAATGCCATATGGAGTATATGAAATAAAGACCAAGGAAAAATATGTGAGCAAGCATAGATGAAAAATATGCTAAATTTAGCTCATATACAAGAAGATAATGAGAACACATATGGATATGTCTTTATTAAGATAATCTCTCATTATACTAACATAAAAATCATGTATAAGAATAGATTTATGAAATCAAAAGAAGAGAAACATGAGAATACTAACATAAAAATCATGTATAAGAATAGATTTATGAAATCAAAAGAAGAGAAACATGAGAATCATGTAAAAAGTTTTCAAATGAAAGATTTATGAAATCAAAAGAAGAGAAACATGAGAATCATGTAAAAAGTTTTCAAATGAAAACAAATCACCCAAAAGAAATCATAAATCAAAGTTTAAATCCAAAAATGTAAAAACCAAATCATCATTGATTTTCAAAAATCAAGAGAGGCAACTATATCTAGCTCTTGAGCTAGTAACAACCTATATAAACATTTAAGCACCCGGTAAACAAGATTTGGGAATAAACACCCAAGAAATCTAAGGGGGGTTGTATAAATACAAACCTCTCATCAAAATAAAACCAATAATCATGAAAACAAAAGAATTTGACCAATAAAAGGAATTGTTTTCATAAAAATTTAAAATACATTTTTCGAAACCAAGAAAAAGAAAAATAAAAGTACTAAAATTCTTGGCTTAAAAATTATTTTGGCACCCAAGTATTCTTGGTGCCGGTTTGTTTAGGGACATGACCCCTATCATTAAAGCTCAAAGCCCTAGGGTTATGAACCCGTTTGGGCAATGCACGGATACGATCAAAACAAAAACTATATAAATAACCTTTACGATTTCAATTTGTGCAATGAAAAGGTTAAAATAATTTGCGTTGACCAAATGGTTGTGCACGGGAAACATTAGAAACATTTGCAAACATGGATGGTCTTTTAAAATTATTTTGTAAATGTGAAACTCTCTTTAAATCAAAACAAAATATGGCCAAATGACCAAATCGACCACAAAAATCACATTTAAATACATTAGCATGCTTATGATGTACAATTGGTGCATGTGTGTGTACATGTGATGAAGAAACTTGATGAGATGCACAAGAAGGATTAATATTCTTATGTTTTTGTGCATCATAGCAAAATTTAGCTAAATGGCCTTTACGACCACAAATGAAGCACTTGTAAACTTTGCTATACAAGTGTGCATAGTGTGTATGTGATTTATAAGTTATAGCACTAGATTTAGCACACTTGTCCATAAGTTTCTTATAATTATCAATGCATGTGTTTAAGGTATAATCTAAACATGATATGCGATTTTTCACATGATTCAACTCATCATTATGCATACAAGCATTGGACATAGAAGTAGATGAAACATGATCAGTTCTAAATGAATTAAACTCATTTCTAATAGTTGCTACTTCTATCATGGCATCATTATTAGTATGAGTTAAGCTAGCAATAGATGAAGACATGTTATTATTTTCCAAACTTAATGACTCATTGTTTTCTTTCAAAATAGCATTCTCTTTAACAACAATATCATGTTTGGAAGCTAGCGTCTCATGATCGGATTTCAAATCTATATGCTTGCTTTTAAGATCAATAAAATTGTTATGCAACTT